AGCCAGCCCCAGCTTGCACTGCTGGAGCATGGGGCTTATTAAAACACAGACAGGCAAACACAGGGGCTGTGCCTGGATCCCTCCCTACGGCCACAAAACTATTCAGCAACTTTAAATCCTTCCGTTTTTAACAGAAAATTAAACAGCTTCCCTTCAAACTGCAGCTGTACAGCTCTCAGAGAGGAAATTGCTGGTTTGTTAGTGATGCCTTTGACAGAGGGAAAGTCACATTCAGCTCATGACCACGGGGTGTGTCCTGGTTGACAGCTGAGTGGTGTAAAAATCCCTGATTTTGGTGTAATTTGCTGTCAGAGAATATGCCACAGAGGGCAACAGTTATTTCTGCAGGAGCTCATGACGTTTGCAGAGTGCTCCTCGTGTGCAATGCAAAGACAGGCTGCAAAATTAGGGGAATTTGAGTTAGATATTGGGTGGAAAGTTCTCCTCAGTGAAGGTAACAGGGGAACAAGTTGCCCAGAGGGGCTGTGGGAACTCCATCCTTGGAGGCATCAACTCCAGAGTGCCCTGGAGCCAGGGAAACAACTGTGGAGTGTGCCCTGCTTGAAGTGAGCTTCAGGGGACCCTTCCCACCTAAGATTCTCCAGCTCTAGGACTTCCAACAGTGAAAATCTTGCCTGTAGAAAAGAGGTGAGAAGGTTTTAAAGTAGCATTGACACATGAGCTAAAGCCTTGCCAAGCCCTCAAGCCTTATATAGCTGCAGGAGGAGCCAACTTTCTGCTCTGGAGCTAAGAATTGGGACCAATTCTAGTGGGTTTTCTCTGTCCTCCCCTGTGTAAGGACCCTGACTACTAACCCTGACCCCCTTTCTCTCTCTCAGCACACTGCTGCTGGGGATGAAGGTGGAGGACAGTCCCTGGTTTCTCCTGGGAGCTGCCTGGAAGATTTCAGGGCGACTCCTTTCATCGAATGCAACGGTGCCCGTGGAACCTGTCACTACTTTGCCAATAAATACAGCTTCTGGCTCACCACCATCGACCAGCCCTTCCAGAGCAAGCCCTCAGCTGACACACTCAAGGCAGGACTCATCCGAAGCCACATCAGCAGATGCCAAGTCTGCATGAAAAACCTGTAGGGGGAATCTTTCACTCTCTAAGGAATTCGCTTGGCAAAGTTCTGACACAGGGAAACCTATTTGAAGAAATCATGTTGGTGCTTTTTTTTTAACTTATTACCTCAAAAAGCTGAATGAAAAATGAATTTTTTAAAGGGTCTGTCAAAGCACATTGAAGTGTAACACAAGTCTTAACACAAATCTAGTGCTGGGTTCTACTCTTTATATACATTTTTTTGCTAGTCTAACATTAAGTCCTTTGCCCAATTATACAAATACTCACAGCTTTGAAACACCAAAAAAAAACCCCTTCAGTAATAAATGATTACTTTGGTCAGATAACCACTCCATTTACTTTAAGAGAATATATATAGATCTCTCTCTTCTGTTTTACTCTATTTGTCATGAACACTAACAGCTGCACTTGCCTGAATTAACACAGGGTGGTCAAAGTGCTAAAACCTTTGCAAAGGGCTGAAAAAAAAGCCTCACTTTGGTCTTAGCATTTCATTTCAGACACACCCAGAACAGTCATTTTCATTATATTGGTTTTTTTGAAGCCTCACCATGCTTTAGCACTTAACCACTGGCAAGAGGAGAGAAGCCCAGAGGCCTCCCAGAAATCATGACCACAGAATTTACTCTTTGCACAGTCTCATCACACACCTGAATGCCTAAAACTGAAACCAAAGAGCCTTCTAGAGCAACAACAGTTGATTTTTTTCAACGGTTCACCTCACTCCTGCTTCAGGTGCTTCTTGGCTTTTGGAAGGACATTCCATCCTCACTGTATCAGAAATAAAACCTGGTTTTTCTACACCTCTCTCTGCTGATGATTTCCATTTTGTCAGTGGTGGTTTTTCTACCCAGGCTGCTCCCTTCAGGGGACTCTGGGTGCCCCTGAGGAGTTAGAAAAGCACAGCTAGAGAGCTCTGTCCACTGCAACCCAAACTCTTCAGCCAGGAATTCACTCGTTCACTTCCTGGCACTTAAAAAGATCCAAGGGAGAAGTGATGTTTCTAAAATTGCTTAAGCTGAACGACTGAAATAGTATCTCAGCTGTTGGTAGGAAGAACAATTTAAGCCAATAAATTGTGATGCTGCAGATAAAAGCTCTATAGTGTTCAGGAAAGCAGAATTAAGCAAATATGATAAGTGTGACCTCTGAAAAAAACCCAATATATATAAAATATAATATATAAAATGTATTTTCTTTGCTAGCACACTGTCTGACCTGTATTAGTTCTTCATAAAATTAAGATACATCCTTAAACAGAGAAATCCCTGGGCTTGAAATGAGCTCTCTGGCCGTGCTGTGCCTCTGAAAGGCAGCCCCCAAATAAGCTAATCACTTTTTTTAGCTAAATAAAACACTTGGGATTTAAAACACTGCAGTTCACATGAACTTTAGCACATAGTTCTGCCTCTGACAGCTGCTCTGCCTCAGTTCTCTCTTCAGGAGTTTGCTGAGGGCAGCCCTGGCACAGCCCCGAGCTGCACACGCAGGCAAGGGGCAGGAAAAGACAAACCAACCACGAAACCCCCAGGAGGTGCCAGGGAAACCCGTGTGCTTCCTGCACATCATGTGCTGGAGGTGTGGATTCCCAGCTGGGGTGCTCCAAAACCTGGGGAATCGCTGCTGGAGAAGGGGAGGGAGCTTGGGAACACGTGGAGGACTTGGAGGAGCCACCAGATTTCAGGTGGTGAGCTAGCCCAGGTCCCAGCGTGGAGGGGACTGACTCAAACTGGCTCTTAGCTGAGGATTTACCTCCTCTCCTGTGAAGATTTACCTCCTCTCCTCTGAAGAATTACCTCCTCTCCTCTGAAGAATTACCTCCTCTCCTCTGAAGAATTACCTCCTCTCCTCTGAAGATGTGCTTGAGAGAGCTGGGTTGTTCCACCTGGAGAAGATGAGGCTCCAAGGAGACCTTCTTGCAGCCTTTCAATATAGAGAGAGATTATAAGATGAAGGAGAAACTTTTTATCCAGGCCTGTACTGACAGGACAAGGGGCAGGGGTTTTAAACTGAGAGCAGGCTTGGAGAGGAGGAGGAGATTTGTTGCAGTGAGGATGGTGAGCACTGGAACGTGTTCCCCAGAGATGCTGTGGGTGCATCTCTGAGTTCCAGTGCTCCAGCTTAGGCTGTAAAAAAACATCCAAGTGTTTTGCCTGGGGGTGACCAAGTCAAAGGTTTTGCTTGACCCCTGCACGTTGCCTGTTGGAACACACGCTGCAGTACAGCACTCTGCTGAGCCTGGAGAAGGTAAATGAGATGATAATCACCTCTGTAGGTTAATTAGTGCAGCAGCACAGCAGCACAGACACAGTAAAATCAACACAGTGACACCAGTCGATTCCAGCTCTTTCCTCAGGGTCTATCCAGCAGCTCAGCCAAGTCCCTTTACACCCTGCATGACTGGGCTGCTGGAAAATGATCAAATGGCCAAATGGCAAGCAGTGATCCTGACCCTGGGCCAGGAGGTGTTAGACTGCTGCCAGAAGAGAGGCTGGGGGGGTTAACTGACAGCATCTGTTGCAGGTCTGGGGGCAGCCCTGACCCTAAACCAGGACAATTTCCCAAGCATCTCCCAAAATCCTGACCTCACCCCAGCATGTCCTGCAGGTTCAGCTCACAGCTGAACCTCTCACAGACCTGCTGGCAGATCACTGTGCTCACAAACCAGACTGGGGTGGTGGCCTCTCTGTCTCTTCCCAGTCCCAAGGTAGAATTTTAATAGCTGGAAGGTTTTTGACTGCACAGTTTTAATTATAGGGCAATGAGGAACAGCACTGGTGCCCATGACCCACCAGCAGAGACACAAACCCAGGCAGTGGTGCTTCTACCACAGCATGGGCAAGGTGTAACTCAGCTGCAGGAGGTGGCCCCGTGGCCCTGCCTGCTCCACAGGCACCCACTGGACCTCTGTGGCCATCATGAGACTTGAAGCCTTGGGGTGGTTCTCTGATTAAACATCCAGAGGTTTTTCTCTTTAGACATTCTTCCCCACTCTCTTGAAAGCAGAAAATAAAGCTACTCTTCTGCAGCAAATTGCTCAAAAAGACATACTTGTGGAAAAAAAGAAGTATAAAACAGACTGAGCAATAATTGACTTCTTTTCTCATCAAGGAATTGTCTCCCTGTGTAGCAAACAACTCTGATTTGGGTGGGACCCAGAAAGGCAATGACAAACCATAAGAACCAACAAAACCTTTAGTTTTAAGAAGTTTTTCAAGTTTTAGACTCATCCACAGGAAGATGAAAGAGCTGCAGAAGCAGGAATATGTGAGCTGCACCTCTGGGGGTTGTGTGGGTGCTGCCTGTTAGCACATGAAAGCCCACAGTGGGAGAAGTCACATCAATAAAACCTCCAAACAAACAGTATGTATCCATACTGATTTTAATAGTTCAGCTTCTGAATTTGACACTGTCATATCTGACATAAAAAGGTTGTCATTGATTTATTAGCTACAAATATAAATTATACCTGGATTTTCTCTCTTTTTTTTTTCCTTAAGAATAAAGAAATATCCCAAGTTCCATCTTCCAACGTTAGAACTGCAAGGGAAAGATGCTAATCATGTGAAAGCTGTCAAAAGGACACCAACAGATCATTTATATGCAAGGTGGAATGGGGAGCTGTTAAAAATCAGACTCCTTCAAAACTGTCCCAAGGATTGTCACTGCCCGTCGCACGAAGGCACCATTTGTCTGCAGAGCCCACCAACCCTGGCAGGTCTTCCTCTGGAACTTCCCTCCCACTCCCATTTTCATCCACAGAGCTTCCCAAGAAGGCTCAGACTTGGAGTTTTTTTTTTGCAGATACCATTTGAGTATTTATGCCTTGATTTTGTTGCTTGCCAGTCAACCGCAGGCCACGTTACCCCTCGGCCAGCTGGAGCCTCTCCTCCTCTTCCACCACAAACTGCTCAGGCACAGCAACCAGATTTTGTTCTTTTGGCTGGTTTGTAGTCCGTGATGTCCACAGTCTGCTGTGGCCCCTCAGCTTTCTGCCTGACGATGATGGGCACCACCATCTCAAAGACAGTTTCGAAGAGCTGGTCCACCTTGTAGCCCGTTTTGGCGCTGGTCTCGAAGCACATCTTCTCCGCTGCTGGGACATCCTTCTCCTCCAGCATTTTGTATTTCAGGATCTTTTTATAGAGGGCGATGGCATCTTCTGCCCGCACTTGTCTGTGCCCCTTGGGGGCAGAGCTGGCAGGGGGTTTCTCAGCCCTGTTCTGCCCCGGGGGGGAGGCGCGGCCCTCGGCCAGGTCGACCTTGTTGCCGACGATGGCGAAGATGCAGTCGGCGCTGGCGCTGTCTGTCAGGGCCAGGAACCTCTCCTCCAGCTCTGTCAGGCTCTGCGGGCTGTTCACGTCGTAGGTGAGGATCACAGCAGCTGCCCCTCTGCAGTACATGGACCCCAGGCCGTGGAACTGCTCCCGGCCTGGCAAAGGATCAAACACAAGCGGTCAGCCTGCTGGAAGCCACGTCATCAACCCAGCGCCAGAGTCTGGCTTAGAGAGCACCCAAACTCCCAACTTCACGAGTAAAAATGGGGAGGATTTCAGTTTTTCCCCTTCTGCTTTGCCTTCAGAGGGCAACAGTGCTATTTATAAACAATAAAAAGAAGTTTGACAGTTTCATCATTCTGCTAGGACTCACTACTCCTACAAATTCAGTACATAGAATCCTTTAGGTTGGAAGGGACCTCCAAGATCAGCAAGTCCAACCATTGAGCCATTAGGGCTCTAAAGTCCTCTGCTAAAACAGATCAGAATCTGTCAGGGCTGGAAGGGACCACAAGGATCCCCCAGTTCCAACCCCTCTGCCATGAGCAGGGACACCTCCCACTAGATCAGGCTGCCCAGAGCCTCCTCCAGCCTGGCCTTAAAGACCCCCAGGGATGGGGCCTCAACCCCCTCCCTGGGCAACCCATCCCAGGGTCTCACCACTCTCCTGGGGAAGAACTTCTTCCTCACATCCAGCCTGAATCTGCCCACTGCCAGATTGGCCCCATTCCCCCTAGTCCTGTCGTTACCCAATAGCCTAAAAAGTCCCTCCCCAGCTTTCTTGTAGCCCCCCTAAGATACTGGAAGGCCACAATAAGGTCACCTCAGAGCCTTCTCTTCTCCAGACATCCTCAGGAATCTGTATCAAAGCCACTAATGAATTTCTTCCTAGATTTTGAAGGATTTTGTAAGCAACTCAGTCCCATAGTACACATCCACAGCTCTCTGCTACACCAGCCTTACAGGAAAAGGCTTTACTCAACACTGCCTGTATCAATCTGCATCTGCCCACAAGCACTCACACTTTTTTTAGAGTCCTAAACACACACAACAAAAATAACCCCAACTACATTTTCAGAGCATTCTAAGTTGTCCTGACCATCACTCCATAACAAGCAGTTAATAACAAAGTATTTCTCCCTCCTCATCACCCAGCAAGTATCTACCAGCACTTCCAGCTAAGCCTTCATGGTATTCTTCAAATTCATTTCTTGGAAGAAAAAATTGACTCTTTAAATTCTGGGAATCAATGTTCTCCAGTCCTTCCAAAGGGACCAAGGGAAAGGAGGCAGAGCACAGACAGTGTTCTCCTCTCCTACCAAGAAGCTTCCCCCAAAGATGGGCTACGTGTAGAACCTGCTGTAACACATGCACTCTGCTCCCCAAAACTTGATCAAGAACAAGGTACAACACTATGAAGAGGTATAAAAGGAAGATGATGAGGATGATCAGAAGTATGCAAAGAGTTTGCAGGAAGAAAAATTGGGGGATCTCACAGGCTAGTGAATGATGGGGGGGGAAAAAGGATATGAAGAAACGTCTGTAAAGTCATGCCCAAGGTTTAGAAACTAACCCAGGAACAAGGATTTACTCTTTCTGGCAAAATAGAAAATGAGGATTTCACATCAAGAAATCATGCACTGTGAATATCATGCCAGTGAGTAACTGGCAGGAAGTGCTGAATGACTTTGCAGAGATCAGAAGCTGAATGAATGGAGTTCAGAAAAAACACTAGGTGAAGTTTATGGAAAATGGCTTCTGTGCAATTTTGTCTAACTGCCAATTTGTTATTCCCCAGCACAGGAAAGTCTTTAACCCATGATCTGGTAGGTAGGAAAAAAAGGAGGGTAAAATAAATAAATAAGGAGGTATAGCCTTGTTTGGGTATGTTGGGGGATTCAGGGGAGGCAGGAGGTCAGTGCTTGGACACTTGTTCCTCTCATTTCATGTTCAAGGCTGTGCTTTCAGCTGCACTGCAACTGAGTTTATAAAAGTCCCCAATTTTTCAGCAGAAGTTTGTGCCATGACCTACTTTATTTCCATATGAACCCTGATTATGCTGCAGTCTGGAAACCACAATGGAACACAGATCCTCCCCCGTGCTCCCACTGGAGATGCCTCAGCCATAAAACCCAGGGCCCAGAACCATTCCCTGCTGCAGCCCAGGGCTGGAACAATACCAGGACTTGTTTGGGGGAATTTGTATGCTCATCTAACCTTGCACAGCAGAATAGAAACCACCACACTTTTACACCCTTCACTTCAAACTGCCTACTTCCACAACTGATATATTGTTGAGAAGGGGAAAGAAACAGTAAGAAGAATTCTCCTTACATAAGGGCTTAATTATGTCAGAGGAATTATGGAGAGTTTCACTCGCCCACACAGCACAATCTACACACAGAAAAAATCCATCACTTATTTTTGCAGTGCAGTTTTCCTTGTACTACTTCTGGAACAAGCCTAGATGCTGAAAACACACCAAAACTCCATGAAGTATTTAAAGTAGTATCTGTCCCCACGGTGTCAGGGAAAATGGCATCAGACTTTAGGGTGAAAAACTCCCTGCATCAGAACAGCCACCCCCCTTCTTATGGCCTCTTATTTCTGTCTCTGGACCCACCTCGTCCACTCCAACCATGTACCTTTTAAACAATTAACTACATTAAATGGTAAACCCTGAAACCAAGAATTAATTTCACCCCTTAAAAAAACCCAAAGGTGACAGGGAAGAGTGTGAGAGCTGTCAAATAATGGAACTGCAAGAAGAATCAAACCACCCACAAAGGCACAATGGTAGAGAAATTTCTTAACACCAAGCAATCACAACTCATTTTTTTTCCATCCTTCTATTTTATCTTATTTATCTTTAACAACCCTATGGCCATACTGCTACCTGCAACACCATTAGCTTTCCACAAGCTCCTTCAGCAACTGTATGAAATCCTCTTGGAGATGCCCTCAGGAAACCACTTGGGAGCAGTGCAGCCAATGAGCACTTTCAAAGTCCTCTGCTGGTTGACATAAATTAATAACTTTGATCCAAATGGACATCAGCACCACAGAATTCATAAGACACTCAAAGAAAGGAAAAACAGACCCTGCAAGAGGCTGGCCTGATAAATAAGCAGGGTTGGATTTAAAGGGGGCTGATCCTAGCTGTGGGACCCACTGACCCCCATCTCCTTCTTGGAGCTCTCCTCCCTGCTGTCATTAGGGGTGTAGCCAAAATAGCCTCTGAGGCTGCTGTTGATGTTTATGAGAGCAAAAGATTTCCTCCAGCCAAACTGGAATGTTCCTTACCTACCACCTCTTCAAAGGCTTTCAGCACAGCTTCTTAAGTAGCATAACTTCCCACACACTCCTTCAAGAAAGTCTCTACCTGAAGAGCAAGTTTTAAATCTCAGTGCTGAGCAGGAATAAGAACACAAAACAGACTGCTGCTTTAAGTCTTGAGAGAATAAAATGGCACCAATACTAAAGCACTAAAAAAGTCTTCCTGAAAGTACTGAAAAAAAGTACTGTCCTTACTCTGATATCAGCCTGAACCTGCCCTAAATTATGAATTCCTGAAGTAAATCTGCAGTGTGGAAAAATGAAGGCAAGCAACAGAAGCACACTGACAGTGCACTAAAATGAACAAGAGGGCAAAAGCATCCAGACAGTTCTCAGCCCATAAACCAGGTACCTTCAATTTTGACTGTAATTTAAGCAGGGTTGAAATGTGAACAGTGGAGGAAACTGAACACAAAGCAGCAGCTGAGTTTTGCCTTTCACATTCTCTTTTGCCTTCATGAGGGAGCCTGAACTCGAGCAGGCACAGAGACAGGAGCTGCCCCCGAAGGAAAGGGCTTAAACTGGAATGAAAAGAGAAAGTGTAACACCCCTGACACAGCACAGAAACCAGCATCAGGAAGGAATGAGAGCTGAGGACTCAGCAAGAGGGGGTGAAGGTTCAAAGTGTGACCCTGATGCTCTCGAGTCCCCTCAGCGGGAGCATCTGTGTGACAGCAAGAGGGGACAGAGCAGCTCCTCTGCCAGGACAGCAGCTCCTTCTGCCTGCAGACAAAGCAGGAGAGCTGAGACCCTTTAAAGGGCATGAGGGGAGTGATTTTGCTAGGAGCTGAGGCTTCTGGTTCTGCACGTAGCCCCAGATATACACTGACTCCCAGAGAACAGACCATAAAGGTCCCTGAAGGCTTCAGGAAAATTCTCCTGCCCGCAGCAAGTCAGGCTGTAAAGTTTTGACACTGGTGAGGTCAGAGCTCTTCCTTCACTGCCTTGGTCAAGGCTGTTAGTTATACCTTCTAGGTGGCTTTATCACATTTCCCTTGAAGTCAGAAGCTTTATTATGAAGCAGACTATGCCTGTGGTTACTTGGGGATTAAAATAAAGCTCTCCATCCCTAATGATTAACATGGACAACATAAGTAGGAATTAGTGGAAACAAATGAGTCAGAAAGCACTGGAGAGCTCCATTTTTACAGATCCAGAAGTTATCTGAATATCTGACTTCCCAGTTCATTAGAAAAATGCCAACATTGGGTTTTCCTCCAAGACAAGAAGACAAAACTCCCAGTAAAAAGAAAGGTCTCAGCAGGGGGTTGGGGGGGAATGGACAAACTAACAAACCAACCAAAACTCCACACCACCAACCCCCAGAAAACCTCAACCCTAAAAACAACTAAAATTGAGCAACTGGAGAGTTCCTTTAGGCTCCACCTTCACCTGGTGTTATGAATTATACATTCACCATGCCACATTATGGGATATTCTTGTGTATATTCAAGTTTCAGAATGCAACAGACCTCTAGCTCTACTAAAAATCAAGATGACATTTCTTTTGTTCATATTCATTACTTTGACATGAAACAATATTGAAGGTATGAACTGTGCCTTATTTCAGGAGCTATTTAAGTTATTAGAATTAGATATGGATGTTTGGCCAAAGCAGAAGACAATATAAGCATAGGGAAGTACTGATGTTAATACCCAAAGGGTTTCACTTTCATGTTTTAAGTAGAAAGAGCTACATATGGAAGGAGAAAATAACAGCCACATAGGTTAAGGGAACAACAAACACAGAAAAATTCTTTAATAGAGCTCTGCAAAGAAAAACCATCAAAACCAGTCACTCAGGAAAGCAGGGCCAGTGTAA